ATACACTAAATACAGTATTGGTGGATTAACCACCCATCTAAAAACAAGGAAAGAACTTCCTACTACAACTGAAATGAGAAAGTGGAGGAATAACCTCCTTACTGCAAGAACTGCTGCACATAAAATATAAAAACAAATACTTAAAAGTTGTAGTAATCTACTGCAACAACTGCTGCACATAAAATATAAAAACAAATACTTAAAAGTTGTAGTAATCTACTGCAACAACTGCTGCACATAAAATATAAAAACAAATACTTAAAAGTTGTAGTAATCTACTGCAACAACTGCTGCACATAAAATATAAAAACAAATACTTAAAAGTTGTAGTAATCTACTGCAAACAACTTAATAACTTGATAAAGTAATCTACTTTCTAATTTCCTTTAATCTTCCGTGTGTAAGCCGTTGGTAGACTAAAGGGGTGCTAACAGATTATTTGGCAGAGTTGAGGGATGTACTTGGACCTTTTCTCAAACAAAGTAAAGAAAAGAAAGAGAAAATACATTAACTTTTAGCTTATCTTTCTCCTTCATCAATAATTCTACCAGTCTAAAAACTACCATTTCTTGACAATGAAATTTATTTTTTTAATTTTTGGAGAAGGTTTTGAAGTAATTTTATTATAAAGAAATATTTTGAAATAAGTTTATTTTTTAGTAATTATTTCGAAAAGTTATAGTAATATGATTTTTTCTACAATTGTTTTTTCTTATAGAACAGACCCACACAATAACATATCTGAAAAAAATAGAAAATATTTCCGTTGAATTTAATTTCCAATTTGTTGTACACAAAAGCTACTAGGGGTGTAACTTCGTTATTCTCCCTAAAATTATGTAAATATGAAATAGACAATAGTAGAACAACTTAGTCGCTCCTCCAAAGAATTTATTGTTGGTATTAGTTTGATATTCCAAAAGTGTCATGAAAGCTAAATCTTGAAGTAACGTTCACATTAAAGATCCTATTTTCAGGTAAATTTAATGCTCTTTGTAATAACTTTAGACTTTGTCTCAGGCAACTTCATTGCATTTAATCTTTTCTTGAAAAGTCACTTTGTTAAGGGTTTGAACTAAGCCAAGAATACCGTTTGCACCATTTTTTGCGAGAAGAAGAATTTTTTAACATGAGATAAAATTGCTCTCTTTTGTCTAGTACTTTTTGACCGTAGAAGTCGGCTCTTTAGGACTTTAATATTAATATTAAGTATTACTTTTTCTTATTTAAGTTAATACAGATTAGCAGTTACTTAGCCTTTTCTAAAACTAGGTTATATAGAAAGGTAATATATACTCCCTCTCGGCACGGAGTTTAAGAAAGAAAGGAAGACTTTTAAAACTTGTGGTCCAAAATGAATGATAGAAATTTGTGTGACTGTAAATCATTTCATTAAGGGTAAAATAGATATTTTATAGTTAAATTGTTACTTAATATAGAAATGTGTCATTCTTTTTGGGACTGACTAAAAAAGAAAGTAAGTCATATAAATTGGGACAGAGGGAGTATCTCTTTTCTGGTTACAAAATTAGTCATACTTATCATAAAGATTTATTTATTTTTAAGAAACAAGCCGTCTTTATAAATATTTGTTACATCATTAATAGATCGGATTTTTGCTCTGCTAGTGTGAGAAAATGATGATTTTTTTGTCTGGTAAAATTAGTGATGAAAGAGAAAGATACGCTCCAGGTTCGTGTGTTTTCTCTCTCTTTTTATTCATTTGGGAAATATTTATAAATACACCTGAACTATAGACTATAGTAGCTTTGAAAATACTAAAACAACAATAACTATGCCTTAGTCCCAAACTAGTAGGATTCAGTTATATGAATCCTGCCTGTCCATGTCAGTGTAATATTATACACAACTAAAACAAAAACTACTAGAAGTTCTCTAAAAGTTTTGTAAATATATCTCTTAAAAGGATAAATGACCCCTATAAAACATAGAACCTAAAATAAAAGTGCTAACCTGATAAACTTATTCTCAACTAATAGGTAATCTTCTTCTTCTATTGTGCCCTATTTTTTGCGTTGTCTGCATGGATCCCAAGAGATTATAGGTCTTTTGAGACAACTTTTTCAATTTGATTATAGGTCTACCTTGTTCCCTTTTAACATCTTTATTCACCATGGTCTCACACATAGGCACCAGTGCATCTAGAGATTGATGAAGGACATGGGCCAAACCATCTCAAGTGACCTTCTTTAAAATTTTATCCTTGATGTGTACTACGTGAACCTTCTGCATACACGATCATTTCTAATCTTATATGGTTGCATATCCTATCATGCCTCAAAACTGTATGAGTGTGTGATCAGCACTTGATGCCTTAAACTTCATCGAGTGAACCAACTGAACATTTATACCATTCACAACTAGTGAATGTATCATGGAAATGAGCTTCCACAAATTAGAAGTCATAAACATATGACGCTTGAACTGTACATGACATGACATGAAAGATTACTCTTGAACTGTCACGAGTTGAAATCGGGCCATGATGGCGCCTACTGTAATCCCCTAGTAGGTAAGCCAAAAGCCAAGCCAAAACTTGCGGAAGATAACAATTTAAATAATAATAATTAAGAATAAGCGGAAATAGGAATAAAATATAGAAACAAGCCATAGTATAAAACTATAAGTGGTCGTTTGGTAGAATGTATTAGCAAAAATAATGCATGCATTAGCTATATGTATTAGTAGTGCCTTGTTTGGTGCATTTTTTCATGCTTATGTATAACTAATGCAAGCATTAGTTATGAGGAGTGTTACTAATACCATGGATTTCTAGGTATTAACAATGCAAAGGATTTAATTCATGCATTATTATGGTTAAAGACTCAATTACCCCTCAAAAGCACTTCTACATCTTTTCCACCATAATTGTGAAGGATACTTATGTAAATAAATATTTTTATACAATGCATACCATTTTTAACACACCAAACCAAACAATGCATTAAAAATAATCTATGCATAACTAATGCAAGCATTACTAATACACTCTATTGAGCATTATCTTTATACACTCTACCAAACGACCTCTAAGTACGATACACAACATACAAAGTGGCCCGAAAGTGACCAAGAAGACAAATTAACACAAGACCTAATCCCCGGACCTGGTGTCACCGATACAGGGGTTACTAAGTACAAAAGGCTATATATACAAAGAATTGACTAATCAAAATCTAAAATACAAAATGCAAGTCAGTACAAAAGAGGGAAAGTAGCAAGTCTCTAAACACCAGGAGCTTGCCATGCTGTGTTGACTAATCAAAATCTAAAATGCAAACTACAATGCTCATGCTATGTCATGCTGTGTTGGGACTAAAACCCTGTCATCTTATGCTCTTATGTAGCGTTAGGATTCCAACTTAGTACGGTAGGAAGAAATGCTCCTTGCGTCCTAGTCCAAGAATCTCAACACTACCAACTTTCCTGATAGTTGTGCCACACAATATGATAGGCAGGACTATGGTCGAGTCTTAGTTTCAAAGAATGACTATGGTTGAGTCCATAACCTTTCAAACTTTAAAATGAATCATAATCCTATTAGTAAATCATGTGATGCCTATCGAAAGCCACGACCTGAAACAAGACAATAATCCTGTAATAACATCTATAATTTGGAAATTGAATCACCAAAATAAACTTCAACTCATATGGAACATATGCTATTTGCACAACTTAGATTATAAAGCATAACATTTCTGATATTAAAAAAAGAAGTCACTTTGAAAAAGTTACCCTGTGTCTAGACCTAGTTTTATGAGGAAGGGAAAAATGTTCTCTCTACTTTTCTCTCTTGGGAATTGTTCATTCTCTCCTGTCATCTCACTATGCATGGGTAACTATTTTTCTCGATAATACACTCGTTTAGATATGGATGGAAGGACACAATAAGTGGTTCTGCTTTATCAAGAGGAGTAGGAGAATCACTAGTAGGATAAAGATTAGGTTGGGGTCAGGGATGCTTTGTAGACGGTAGGGAAGGAAGATAGAGGCCTACACTGATAGGGTATTTCAAAATTTACACAGATTTGGTAGGTTCACACAAGTCGAAACTTGGTTAGTTGATCAGAGAAGTGTTGTGATCATTCCGGGGTAGGTCATAACGTGGGATGGGTCAATACTGTTGCTACGATTCTGAGGTTCCCGGGCAGTCCTTCCACGCAACGACCAGAGAGGTTGACAAACACTCTTAAGTCAAAACATATGCAGACACTCCTCTTCTCTTGTATGCTTTAGCATTCTCGTAATTGTTCACATCTTTTTCTCTTTTTTGGTGTAAAAAGATATTTTTAGAAGATGCAGAACCTTTGCTAGACATTGTAGCCTTGTAAGATTGAACATGAACACACTTTTGCTTTTGGCTCCAGCACAGTCTCTGTGCTGGTGGTTAATGTATTGTTACCTTATACGCTTAGAGAACAATTACCTGCCATGTTATATGTAGCCTAGACTCCAAACAGTCTTAGGAACCCTTTTATACATTGCTAATCAAATCAATAAGAAAATTTCTCGCTTATTCCACACTGGAACTCAACATGATGTACTTTGCAGGATGTGCAAATATTGTGATTCAATTTATTTTGTTGTTGTTAGGTTCATGGTTCTTAAATCTTATCAGCGATTAAAAATGGCTGACCCAGCATGAAAATATGGGAAAAAAGTCAGTGAGACCAATAGGACAGCAATTGTATGTCTGCTTTGTGATAAGACAACTAAAGGGGAACTTTTTTCTAGTTTTTTAATATGAATTTTTGTTTATATATTTTTTCTAATTATTGTGGTCTTTTTTCTTTTAAATTGTGCTGCACTTCAATGAAGCGAGCGCTTCGCTTAAAGCATGAAGAGGGGTGTTGTCGCTTTACCGCTTCCTCCCCTAAACATTGGGTTCATCCCAAGCATTGCACTATGTAACGTCAGACTAGTTTAAGGTGAAACTTATTAAGGGTAAATATATCCTTTTTCACTAATCTTTTTCTTAGGGTTTGATGTGCAAAACTTCTCCAAAGACGAATCTGTGGAGGAGTTGGATGCTGTAGCAGAACGTGTCTCGAATATTTTAGCTAAGGAGCCTTCTGGCAGTAAGTCCCCCATCCCCCCCAATTGCTTTACTGAACAAATTAGCTACAATATTTAATTTTTCTTTAGCAGCAAAATCTTTTCTTTATGTTGCTGCCATTTGAATGTGATGTTGTCTTCTTTTGGAAACCGAATGTGGTGTAGTTAGGAATGTATGCCAACTTTATATGTGCCTCTAGTTCTCCTAAACAATGGAAATGTATTAACCATAGACACTTCCATGTTTGTCAGCTGCTTTATATTTCTGCCTGACAGGATATGCTAGAGCTTGTAAATTAATGATAACAAACACAACTGGATTCCTTGTTTACTGTTCAGTGATTCGGCTTGGGAGTCTTCTAAAAATAATTACAACATCTCCTTAGCTCAGTTATGATCTTGAAACCTTGCTATTGACATATATATAAAAGTTTATTTTGATTATTTAGTTCTCTGTCTTTTACAGTCAGACTAGGAATAGGAGGCTTCAGCATGGGTGCAGCTGTCTCTCTGTACTCTGCAACTTGCTTCATCAACGGTGTGTTTGCAAATGGCAAACAATACCCGATCAAACTGAATGAAATTGTTTCACTTAGTGGTTGGATTCCTTGTTCAAGGTTTGAGTTCTAGCACTCCTCTTTATCTCTTCTGACAGAAAGTTGATTGGTATTATATGTTCACTTTTCCATCATTGGCAGGTTTGTTCATAAGAATACTATTGGGATACACGAGGTTGAAAGGCGGGCTGCATCATTACGTATTTTGCTTTGTCATGACAGAGGTATTTTGGTGCTCTATTTTTCAATTTGTGAATTATAGAGTTCTTTATCTGAAAATCCATTGGGATTTGTTAGTTTCCAGAGAATAAAGAACATAAAAACCTGGTTTTACTTATTATTGAACTAGTGGGAACATAAGTTTGATAACCAACAAAAGGATATTTCTGAAAGAAAACTACATGCTTCATTATAAATCCAGACTAATTTATAGAGGTTACAAGCCAACTGAATTTAAGAAACCAACTCCTAAGGATTAGGGATAAGATAAAAACTGATTAATTGCTAAACAATAAATAACGGCCCTACAATACAGAAACTTGGACTGCTGCAGTTCTTATGCATTTATCTAACACTCCTCCTTGCTTTAAGGCAAACTCCAAGTTTTTGCCTGAGAAGTTGAAATTTATTGCTAAAAAGGTTTGGTGAAGATATCTGTCGGCTGCTCTTTAGTTTTGCAATAGAGCAGAATCACGTCACCATTTTTTTGCACTTCCCTCAAGAAGAAAAGCTTGATATTGAAGTGGTTGTTTTCCCATGAAATATAGGATTATAAGAAATTGCTATCGCAGATTGGTTGTCCACAAATACTTCAGTACCCTTTGTTTGATTCAAGTGCAGATCAACAAATATTTTCCTCAACCACAAAGCTTGATTCACTGCTGCTGTTGCAGCCACAAACCTATGTAGTGGCTTGAGCCACAATGTCCTGCTTCTTTGAGCACCACTAAAAAAATGCCTGAGCGAAGGTTGAAGCAGAATCCAGATGTGCTCTTCATGTCATCTGTGAATCCAGCCCAATCAATATCGGAATACCCAAGTAGTTTTAGACCTAGTTTTTTCTGAAACTTGACACCATAATTAATGGTACCTTTGATGTATCTGACAACTCGTTTTGCTGATTTTAGATGTACCTCACTAGCACAATGCATGAACCTCGACAAAATGCTTACAACATACAGAATATCGGGTCTTGTAGCTATGAGATACATCAAACAACCGACTAAGCCTCTGAAGTAGATTTCCTCCATTGTCTCTGCTCCATCATTCTTGCTTAGTTTCTCTTTTTGGTTCATAGGACTACTCATCTCCTTGTAATCTTCCATGTTAAACTTCTTGAGAATTTCCTTAACATATTTCTTGTGGCAAATGAAAACTTCATCCTGTCCCTGCTTGATTTCCATACCAAGAAAATAGGACATTAGACCAAGATTAGTCATCTCAAAGGCTTGCATCATTTCTTGCTTGAAATCCTCGATATGCCTTGTATTGTTGGAACTAGTACATTATCCACATATATAGACACAACAAGAATATCAATGCCATTATGTTTAACATAAAGAGTAGATTTTGATAGACTCTTTTCAAAGCCTAAGCCAAGTAAATGGCCATCTATTCGGCCATACCCCTTGGTGCTTCTTTAAGTCCATAAAGTGCCTTTCTTGCCAAAATCTCCAATGAGGTGGTCGAGATTCGTTTAGGATCCTGTGCTCGCAAATGAAATATGCTACTCCACCAAATTCAGCATACCGAACTCAACGGAGCAATCGAAACTTCCAATCGAGATCGTTTCGACAAAAAAATGAGTCCCACACCCAAGCTCCATTTCAAGCAAAAATCCACAAGGGGCTCAAAATTAGCTTGGGAGCCTCGAGATCTGCATGAAAGGTCATTCTAGACTAAACTCGACGTTTCAGAGCTAACAAAGACATCAAAATTGCATTTTTGACCAAAGTCAACCGTTCAAGCTTTAAAACCTCTAAAACACAAACTTTCACAAAATCCAAACGAACGGCAAAGTCACCGAACTGTCAGTCCCAATAAGTCATAAATGACTTGTGTCGCTATAGGAACACTCTAAACGACAAATAGAAGACGTGGTCATTACTGTTAAATCTACCTCTACCACATGAGCTATTAATTGATGTTGAGTTGGCAGGATGACATGGTTCAGAAGATAGAATTTTTCTGTTTTATTTTCAGTTATGAGTTTTCTAGTCTTTAGGCATGTAGCTGTTGGTAGACCAAGTTCCTAGTTATTAGGAAAAGTCTATTTTTTGAGTTACTGTGATATTTACTGCAGACAGTTAGGGTTTCCTTCTATTTAAAAATCTCTTCTTTCAGCTTAATAAAATACCTCTCTTCTTCTTCTTTTGTCGTATGATTTCTTTATCTGTAAAACACCAACAAATTGGTAATCAAAGCTTCTTCTTAAGGGACCTGTCAGTGACTTGTGAGTGTAGTTTGAGTGAACCATCAACATAGTCCCTACCTTCCCTGAAAAGCCATCAGAACACATGAATTCAGAACACTCTTTTGGTTCTTATGCTATTTCTCCACCAGTGTTTGATGGAGAGAACTACCAGGTATGGGCTATCAAGATGCAAACTCAGATCAAGCTTCACAAGGAAAGGAACACAAGAAAATCCAAGGCAAAATCTTGCTTATATGCTGCACTTTCACTGACAATTTTTTCCAGATTCATGACGTTGGAATCGACAAAAGCAATCTGGGACTTTCTAGAAGAAGAATACCAAGGAGATGAGCGAATCAAAGGCATGAACGTTATGAATCTCATTAGAGAATTTGAGATAAAAAGAATGAAAGATTCTGAAACTGTCAAAGAATACTTAGATAGGCTTCTTAACATTGTGATCAAGGTATGAATGTTGGTCAATAAGCTTCCCGATAGCAAAGTTATTGAGAAACTTCTTGTTACATTACCTGAGAAGTTTGAACCAACCATTGCTTCCTTAGAAAGTACTAAGGATCTATCAAAGATCACTTTGGCAGAATTACTAAATGCATTGCAGACACAAGAAGGTTAATGAGACAAGAACGGTAGAAGGTGCACTTCAGGCCAAGTTGCAAAGTTATACTGGAAGCAAATACAAGAAAATCAAAGGGAAGAAGAATTATGCTGAAAATAATTAGGTTTGCGCTAGTAATGGAGTAGCCACAATTTAGGCGAGGAGAAAAATTCCCTCCGTGTCAATATTGTGGAAGGAAGAATCACCCTCACTTCAAATGCTGGAGAAAGCCGGATATGAGATGCCGAAAATGTCAAAAACTTGGGCATGCTGAGATCATCTGCAAGGAAAAAGGACGGCAGCAACAAGGAGAAGCTCAAGTTGCAAATTAACAGGAGGAAGAACAACTATTTGTTGCGTCATGTTTTGCATCTAGTATTTCAAGTGATAGTTGGCTTATTGATAGTAGTTGTACAAACCACATGAATAGTGATGAAAAACTTTTAAAAGGCTTGATAGATCAACAACATCAAGAGTCGGGATTGGAAATGGAGAATGCCTCCCTGCAAAAGGAAAGGGGACTGTAGCTATTGAGAGTTATAAAGGTACAAAACTTATTTATGAAGTTTTGTTTGTTCCTGGACTTGATCAGAATTTATTAAGTGTTGGACAACTACTTGAAATGGGTTCAAATTGTTTTTTTGAAGATAAGGCGTGTCTGATCATAGATCCAAGTGGGCAGGAACTATTTAGAATTAAAATGCAGGGTAAAAGCTTTTCTTTGAATCAAATGGAGGAAGAACAAATAACTTTTCCAAGTCAGCTTTTCTTTGAATCCAATGGAGGAAGAACAAATAACTTTTCCAAGTCAGCCAGTGTTGCAGAATCCTGGCACAAACGGTTGGGTCACTTCCACCACAGGGCGCTTTTGTATATGCGGAAAAAAGGGTTGGCCCAAGTTGTGAGGCATGTCAATTTGGTAAGCACACAAGATTGCCATTCCCAAAATCAACTTGGAGAACGATTCAAAAATTGCAACTGATTTATACAAATCTTGGAGGCCCCCAAAGAACTCCATCATTGAAAGGAAACATGTATTACACAATTTTTATTGATGATCTAACAATGATGTGTTGGATATACTTCTTAAGATTCAAATCAGAGGTTGCTGAAGTTTTTTGAAAATTCAAAGCCTTGGTAGAAAATCAAAGCGGTTGCAAACTATAAGTGCTTAGAACAGATAACGGGACTGAGTACACTTCAGATTAGTTCAAAAACTTTTTTCAAGTTGCTGGAATAGAGCATCAACTTACTACTCCATACACTCAACAAAATGGAGTAAGTGAAAGGAAGAATAGGACCATCATGGAGATGTCAAGGTGTATGTTGCACGAGAAAGAGCTTCCCAAAAAGTTTTGGGTAGAGGCATCCAATACTGCTGTATTTTTGTTGAATAGGCTGCCTACAAAGGCAATGAATGGTCAAACACCTTTTGAAGCTTGGCATGGGTACAAACCTTTACTAAAGAATCTCAAGATTTTTGGCTGCTTATGTTTTTCTCACATACCTAAGGGATAAACTTGACAAGAAGGCAGAACCTAGAATTTTCATTGGCTATATCTTGCGGTCAAAAGCTTACAGAATTTTCCAACCACAAACTGGAAAAAAATTGGTAAGCAGAGATGTGGAATTTGTAGAATAAAAGCAATGGGGTTGGGATGGAGAAGAGCAAGAAAGAGAAGCTAATGAGTTGCACAATCTTGAGGTACGAGTTGATCATCCTCCAGTTCAAGGAACCAGATATCTATCAAAGATGCAATGAAGCCGTATTTGAACCCGTTGAATATGTAGAAGCTGAAAGATTACAAGATATGGATAGTCGCAATGCAGGAGGAGCTAACCATGATTGAGAAAAATGACACATGGAAGCTGGTAGAAAGGCCTCTAGACATAAAGGTTATTGGTGTTAAATGGGTTTACAGAATTAAGCTAAATGCAGATGGTTCGGTGAACAAACACAAAACTAGGCTTGTGGTGAAGGGTTACACTAAGATTTTTGGTCTAGATTATTCTGAAACATTTGACCAGTTGCAAGGCTTGACACAATTAGGCTTCTTTTGGCAATTGCATCACGAAAGGGTTGGAAAATCTACCAACTGGATGTTAAATCAACCTTTTTCAATGGTTTCTTGCAGTAAGAAATTTATGTTGAGCAACCTGAAGGATTTGTTGCAGAAGGAAAGGAAGAGAAAGTCTACTTGCTGAAAAAGGCCCTCTATCGATTAAAACAAGCTCCAAAGGCTTGGTACAGTCGAATCAATGATCATCTTTCTGACTTAGGTTTTCAAAAAACCCTAAGTGAATCAACTCTTTACATAAAGCATGTTAACTCTGACATTATTATAATTTCTTTGTATGTTGATGATCTTTTAGTAACAGGGAATAATGTTGTGCTCATAGAAGAGTTGAAAAATGAGATGATGAAAGTCTTTCAAATGACGGATCTCGGAGAGATGGCTTTCTTTCTTGCAATGGAGGTTAAATAAATCCAAGATCAAATATTCATTTGTTAGAAGAAGTATGCAAAAGAAATTCTGAGGAAATTTAGTATAGATGATTGCATAAGTATGAGTACGCCTATGAATCAAAAGAAGAAGCTAATGAAGGACGATGGTGCCGAACAAGTACAAGAAAGAAGCTACAGAGGCTTGATAAGTTGTTTGATGTATCTTACAACAAGGCCAGATATATTGTATGCTGTAAGTGTACTATCCTGATTCTTGAATTCTCCTAGGGAGTTGCATATGCAAGCTGCAAAAAGAGTACTCAGATATGTCAAAGGCACAATGGACTATGGAGTCAAATTTAGCAAATGCCAGAATATCAAACTTCAAGGATTTTCTAATAGTGATTGGGGTGGTTCTGCTGAAGATATGAAAAGTACTCCAGGGTACTGTTTTATTTTTGGCGCTGGGTGCTTTTCTTGGTGTTCGAAAAAACAAGAGATTGTTGCTGATTCAACTGCAGAGGCAGAATTTATTGCTGCTACAGTTGTGGTCAATCAAGCTTTATGGATAAAGAAAATCTTTTGCGATCTTGGGTTGGGTTGAAATACATTTGCTTTTGCATTGTCATTCAATGTTGTCCCCCAAAGGAAATTTCAGTCCTCTACATAAGACTAGTTTTTATGTTCTTATTTTGGTGTTATGGTGAATAACTACATATGCATCCTTTTGTGAAACTGTTGTAGATGTAATTGTCATTGAATTCCTTGAAATCATCCTCACCAGTATCCTCCTTGGCGCAATAACGTTCTGCGCATAGCAGCCTCGGCAGCTACTGAAGAGTAGTTCACTTAGAAATGACTAGGCAAAAACATCATAGAGTGCATCAGTGGTTCACAAATTGTGAACTATGATCCTAAGTTTTATCCCTTGAACTTGCATTCAACAATGCTGAATGGCTAAGAAAGAGGAGGCTTAGATCACAAACCCTATTAGGTCATTAGATGTTGGAAACACTCAGTTGCCGCTCTCTTGATTTTCAACTTTACTTTGGTAGTATGTACTAAACAATGTGAGACACCATTCTCTCTTTTGTATGCAATCAAATTAAGTTAAGCGTCACCTTATTGTCTTTGTCATGAAGACCTCAAACTTCAGCCGATAATGATCAGTATGTGTGCATGCTTTGGTTTCCACATCCTGCATAGGAATGACGTTCAATCAGTTTGGGAATCAAGACCAAACATATTTATATTTTACGTAGAGATAAAATTGGATGATTGTGTGTTGCTTTACTGCTGTTAGCCCGTCCTCTAATCTAGCTACATATTTATATTTTATGCAGAGGATATGATTGTCCCATTTGAGCATTCTCAGGAGGTTGCTAGGAGGTTAATTGGATTTGGAGCGGACGTGACAATTTGCAATTACACAGAGCATGGGCATCACCCAGATTTTAGCGAGAAGGGACCGGGTTATGTTAAAAGATGGCTAATGGAGTAGTGAAGCTCAGATGTGATAGACCCCACAAATAGATTAACAGATAACGTCCCAAAACAATATTTACGGTCGTCTTATGTTAACTGATCTCTGGCTGCGAGACAAATGTATGCACTGCCCTCTTTGGTAAAACGAATGCATGATTGTTATTTGGACATGCGATTTTGAATTTTTAAGTTCTATTTCTTTCTCATAAACGTAATAACTCCATAAGTTGTGAAACTATCAAATTTCTTTAACTTGAATATTAAATTATGATAATACCCTCAACTTAAAACACCCTAACTTAAAAATTATATTACTAAAATACCCTTCTTAAACCTATATTTCCTTTCTTATAAGTAAATTATAAGAAGACGTACACTAACGTCCCCCTAGCCTACGATTTGTATGAGGCAGCATGTTCCTTCGGAAAAGTTCCTTGTCGATATCAAGGGATGTGCTCTGTCAAAAAGAATTTATTATCTGAATGTGGATCCAAGTGTTGATTAAATTTTTTTCGATATAAAAAATTAATTAGAGAAGAATTAAGAAAATTCCATCTTGATGGTGAAGGTGCTGGTTAGGAGTCAAACAACGGAATAAGTTTTGTTAACAGTCGATAAGTTCACTTCAATACGTTTCCCATCAATTCCAAATAGACTTCCTAATATTTATTTATATATCTATCTATTTTAAAAGGCTCGCCGTGGTGGGGTTCTATCAAAATGCCCCGAAAATCAGGCGCGGATCTTAGTTTTATAAGATTTATGCCTTAAGTGTCCGACTGTATGCTCTAAGCACGTCAATGCTCGGGGCTCGCCTAGCATATCTTACGCAAACTATATGTTAAGTTCTTTAGTTAACATTGTTGACCCTCATAATTCTTGAATAAATGAATGATACATAATAGTTTTTTAATTTATAGAAATAAGAAGATTGAGAGTAACTCAAATAACAAGTTGTAGTATCACATCTTAGCTATTTGGTAACACTGTGAGGGTGATTATATGTTACGTAACATTTCTTTTAAAAATGCATAACGAAAGCTTACTTTTTCACTTATCATTGATCGTCATGTTTTTGTCATGTCTCAAAATTATCATATTTTATTTAGCTAATTTGAAAGTAATTTTATTTTTATTCATAATAATGGAGTGATGTTTTTATTATAATACTAGTAAGTTTTATTGGTTATTTTCTTTTAGGACGGTAAATTGTATAGTATGATAATAATATATTTTAGAAATAATGATTCTTTCATTATTAGAAAGTTAAGATATTAGATTATTTATACTTGTATAATCATGTTAGAAGTTTTATTTTCTATGAGTTTCATTAATCATGTTTGTAATTATTTCAAACTATTGACGTATTTTTATAATTTTGTGTTATTCTATTAAAGTAACCACCTTTTCACATTGAGGGTGATGTGAAGTCAAAATATATATTTTTAATCATTATTTGCATCATATTTGTTATTTATATTTGTCCTTTTTGAGCAAGAATTTTATGGATTGTGCGAAATGATATATTTTATTTTTAGAATTAAATTGGTAGAACATTGGAGAAGTTTGGAGCTAAAACGAATTAAAGATGGAAAATTGAAGAAGGAAAATAAGTTAATATAATATTAATATAATTTATATGCAAATAAGGAAAGAAGAACATACCTGCTGGGCCACGTGTCAGGCAGCAACATCAAAAGAAAGCTTGGCGATCAAAACTGAAAGTTACACGCGGAGAAAATGGAATCCAATTCCTTTTGGTTTTGGATTTCTAAATTGATTTGGACTCAGTTATTTTATTTAGGGTTTTTATATCTATAAATAGGACATGAAAAATTATTCTTAGGAGAGCTAAAAATCAAGAAATAATACACAATATAAATTTTCTTCTAGCTTAGGAACTTTGAAAGAGCCGTCGTGGAGGTCGGAGAATTGTGGTTTATTCTTTTTTCTACTTTATTATTTATTTGTATTTGTGATTAATAAAAAATAGTTTAACTATTGTTCTTAAATTTTATGATTAACACAAGCATATTTATTTTAATAAATTTTGATTGTGTTTTTGAGATAATGAGTAGCTAAATTTCATAACTAGGGTTATGGGAACCATGATGAATTATTAAAGTAAGTTTATGTACAAAGTGATTCTTGAATTGATTTTATGCATGTATTGTTAATTCTTTCGTTTAGAAGTCTTTTTAACGGTTGCAAACGTTAGAACTCACCTCGTGGCTACTTGCCGGACCAAGGAGGTAGTTAATGAGAAAAGAATTAACAACAGAGATTTAGTGGATGCTATCTAATAGTCTAATGTCAATTGGTGCGAGGGTGAAAACTAAGCCATACATTGATGTGATGTCTAATCTGAGGTAAAGGTAAGGGTTAATTAATAAAGTATACACACATAGCCGGACCAAGGTGTGGGGTGAAATTCCCTATTTGGAGGACCAATCACTTAGGGATACCTAACTTACCAACCTTGCATGCTAAAAATTGAAATAGATCACCAGTACGATATTCTTGCTATTTTATGAAATCATGGGAAACACATTCCTAGTTATTTTTAATAATCTGAATATAAATAAATACTTAGTTTAAAGCTATTTTTATCTCAATTTATATTCCCCCTTTTTTTTTTAAATAATGACTATCGAGTTAAATATTTGCTATTGACAATATTCTTCCATATTGTCTGTGGGATCGACCCTGACTCATAGTTGGCTAAATATATTACATACGCCCGTTTATATTTCTTTTCAAGAAGTATATTTGGATGTTATCAAAGGGTTGTTACTTTTTCAAAAGGTTGTGATATTTTCTAAAAGTTATGACTTCTCTGAAGGGTTGCATCTTTCGAACAACAAACACTTGGTCATTCTAACAAAACATTTTAAAACCTATGTAACTTGAATATTTAGACACTTGTAACACCTCAGAATTTAAGAAGGCTACAAAAGAGGCCAAGCCATTAAGTCACCAGCCAAAACTGAGCCATGGGATCCTTTACAGAGCCCTTGACGATCCGTGAAGGGGACCACAACTCATTGTGGTGCTCGTGAAGGGATTCTAGAACCTGTCCAAAAAGGGTCCCCTCCCACGACCCCTTGGACGGCCCGTGGTGAGCATCATAGACTGTTAAAGTTGTCGTGAAGAGGGTAAGGGTAGAAGGGGTCCTACCCTAGCCACTGGTCAAGGACCACGACTCTCATAACGGCTCAGGGGTCCTTGACGGGTCGTGAAGGCCACCATGAAAGTGGTCCCGTCAGTTTTAAGTTAGGGTCTTTTGGGCCTTTTCCTGATTATTTGAATTCAATTCCATATCGTTTTACCCTTAAACCAAGGTTCTATGTAAGCATTTTTAACCCCAAAATCAACCCATTTAATTTATTCTATCAAGTTACCAAAAAGAAGAACACGTCTTCCTCTCCAAATATTTCTTTCCCTAGAATGCTTGAAGAAGAAGGATTCAACCTAGAGTTTCAAGTCAAGTCTCCTAATCCTCCATTGAAGTCAAGCTTTTGGCATTAAGGTATGATGGTTTTCATCCATGGAGCTCTTTTCTCCATTGAGTCCTCAAATTCTCCAATTTATGAAGATAGAAATCCCCAATTGAGTTAGGGTTTTTCTTCCATGTCAAGGGTTCCTTTTAATGTTGATTTATTTGATTGAATTATGATCTTTTATGCATGAATTGAGTTAATTCATGTTTTAAAGATAATTCCCCGTGAACCCATGAATACTCCATGTTTTCCAAGTTATGATGATATAATGTGAGTTTTGAACTATGAAAGAGGAGTTTATGGAATTATGCATGTTCTTATGAAATTGAAGTAAATGCTTTAAGGATGATTTAGAAGTGAAGTATCAATGCTGTTGTTGTTGTGAAAGGATTTCTCATATACACATGAAAGCATAATTGTGAAAGGACTTTCTCACATAAAGGATGCTTAGGATTGAAAGGTTTTCTCAACCAAACTCTGAATCAAGATTTAAGGAGTTATTCTAATGAAACCTAGCTTGGATTGGTTGTTTAATTGTACCTTTCCATGGATGATGTATGACATAGCCTGGATTGACAATATGACGTGCCTTTCCATGGATAATAAAGACAAGTATGTATTAATGACTATTTTGTGGGATTTACTCTTAGCACCGAGAGGATATTGAAATGGAAGCTCTCCCGTTAGTAGAGGCTGGGTTTCTAGTAGCAATCTCCTTGTCCCTTAACTATGTGCCACCATAGGATGTTGTCTTACTTAGAAATTATCTAGTGGATCCACCTAAGCTAGAAGTTAATGGTCTTACCTTGGCAAGTAAGGCACCCCTTTTTAGTGTGGGGTAGACACCGAATTCTATGTTTATAGCTCACACGATCTCAATGTCGGTTAAAGGTAAATTTTCCATAATAATGGACTAAGGTTACTTTTGGAAGTATCTCGCTAATGTTTTAAAGATGTTTGTTTGCATAGACCATTTTTTATGACATATGTTTTCTAACCACTTTAATTCATGTTTTAGCTTGGTCATCACATACCACGAAAATGCCCCTTTTTAGCATGATTTCACATGCTTTATGCATTGCTATCCCAAATGTAGGTGTCACAACCCGAGAACCCCCCTAGTCGTAACTGGCGTACTTGACCCCGAAGGGGTCGCATACAAGCCTCATAGCATACATGAACATAAAAAGCATAGAAAAAATAGCGGAAAATCTAAAACTTTTAGAACAGTCGAAGTCTTTATAAAACAAGAGAAGTTTCTATGACACTGTGTCTCAAACCATCTAAACATTTAGAATAACAAACTCTTTTAATACAATCTAGGGACACGACCCTTACATAATTAAACTTAGGGACATGACCCTTACACAAGTCTAAAGACATAAAACATTAAGTAAGGACATCAGTGGAAAAGCTGGGTTTGTCCTCGAAACTATGAGGACTCCTCAAGTTTTCATCTCCAAGCTCCTTAGAAACCTATCTTCCAAGTATGAGACACCATATCTCCAAACCCTACACTTTGTAGAAAATGTAGAAGAAAGGGTTAGCACAATAAGTACTAAGTATGGAAGCCATGCAAGTAAAATCATTAAAACATGCTTAAAAAGGACATTTGTTTAAAACCATGCATTATGCCATTTTTGAAATATCATCTTTGAAATAGTTGGAGAATGTAACTTATAAGACAAGTCATATTCCATTCATCACAAC